GCTGTAAAGGAAGGGACGTGCAGCCCCCCAGGAGCCCAGTCCTGCTCTGCCCAGCAGCCTTTAGAGCTTTCTGCACTGCAGCACAAAGGGAAGCCACTGGCAAAGAGAGGTGAAAGGAAAAAGAGGGGGAATAAGCTGGTACTGGCTTCCTGATTCAACAGCAGTCATAGAGCAGTTCTAAAGAAAAAACAAAATTAAGGCAAATTGCAGGAAAAATCTTTTTCTCTCCTAGTCCACTGCTCCTGAGAAGACTCTTGGGAAGGGATTTATAAATCCCAGCACCTCAGTGCTCTCCTCTGACTCCCCCTGGGTAAGAGGGTAAGATGCCCTTGGGCATCATCCATCATGTGTGCACAGCTCGGGTGGTGCTGGGGCTGGACTCTTGTGTGGCAGCCCAGCCTTGGCCCTTTTTGCTGCTCCAGTCAGTTTTGGTGCTGTTGGCCAGAGGTGAGGAATTTCAAAAACCCAGGCTAAGGTGTAATGTGGCATTACCTGGAAGGATTCCCTTGCCTCACACAGGTGAGCAGAAATGGAGCACAAATTCTGGACTGTTTTTCCAGATGAGAAAGTACACCAAAAATGGCAGGCAGGCAGAGAGCAAGCTCCATGGATTTTACAGAACAATGCACAGTGGTGCCCCATCTCCTCTGCCTTGTGGAAGGTTTCCTGCACATGCTGCCTTTTCACTCCTGCACTTCTGCAGCTATACAAACATTTTTATTTACTCTGCAATGTGACAAGGCACATTTACAGTGTGCCTGTGTGTGGCGTGTTACGTAAAAATAGGAAAAAAAGCACATTTCCTTTCATATGCCATTCTAAATCAGGGACTTAGCTTAACTTTCTCTAAATGTACATCAAAAATTAAATTTATCTGCCACAGTGCAGTGCATGACTACAAGCAAAGAAAAAGGTCTGTGCAGCTCTCATGTTATGTTAAAAAGGCATGAAAATTACAACAAATTAAGTAGTGCTACCCAAAGTTAAATTGCTGCAAAGGAGGATAAAATGAGTACGGTTTCTATTTTTATTTAATGTATTCTGTCTTATGCACTTTGAAGAATAAATTCTTACAATTAAATCACAGGTACTTCCAGGTTTCAGACCTGTATCTTTTACTCTTTCCAGGGCTCTTTTAATATGCCACTATACATATTTTCTTAAATCCTCTCTTCCATTCAAAACCTAATCCAATCTTGATTTTGTTGCCTGCATATACATCTGGGACTACTCGAATCACTACAAACATTAATGTAAATACAACTTCCTCTGCATTTTTCATCTGTTTCACACATTCATCCACTTAATTCCTTATGTGGAATGTTTTAATACTCAACTAAATTTTCAGAAGCAAGATTGTCCCATAGTCTTGTTTTACACCCTCAATGATTTGAAGGCTTAATGGCTACTGCAAGGGACTTTCCACAGGGAGAAGTAGCTCCAAATGATTATGGAACAGCTGCTGCTGCACTACATCTTCAGATGGATAATTTCATGGCTTGCTAAGAATGTTTTTCTGTAGCCAATCCTAGGATATTTTAGGCAGTTAACTTCAAGGATTTTAAGAAAACAAACCTCCTGCAGTAGATCCTCGACAGAATGGTTAAATCGATCCACAAACTCGTCAATCAGTTGGCTGTGGGCGATGTCAACTCTGTTCTGGATGGTGTATTCCTCACTGCAGAGGATGCTGTAGGTTTTGCTGCAGGCTTCCAGAACATCTGATTCCACATGCTTTTCCACAACAAACTTAATCTGCTTCAGTAAGGCATCCAGATGCTGCAGAGCAGAAAACAACTTCAGCTTTCCCTTCAAAGGGACAGTGACACTGAGCAAAGCCACTGCCAGAACAGCCAAGCAAGGCTGCATTGCTCATGTGCCAAACAAAAGCCCAGCACTGGGGCTGAACAGTGGTCACACCTGAGAGCAAACACATTCCTGCCCAAGGCACGATACCTTTTCCATTCTGCCCGTGCTGTAGATTTCCAGGTCAAAGTACTGAGGGATTTGCAGGAGGTTTGCAACCTTCTCGGCATCAGCAGAATACTGGAACATCATGGCAACAAAACAAACAAAAAGGAAGTAAAAATAAAATAAAAATAAAACTCCTGCACTAAAGAAGGAGAAAGTTTAAAGACAGTTGTAAATCCCAGTGAAAGATTTATTTTGTTGAAAACTGTACCTTTGATAGCAGCATGGGAAGTGCAATAATGAAATGCTCAGTCAATTTATTTCTGTCATCTATCTGAGTTTTTCTTTCTTTTGCTGTCAAGACCTGGAAGTGATCAAACATAAGTACAGCAAATACATATTTGCATATAGCATTCATTAACTTTTCTAAACATTATATTACAAGCAAAACCCCATGCAAGTGTATTTTTAATAAATCAAAACAGGAGGAAATAAAAAACTCAAAACACATTTGGGCTGAAGAGTGATTAAGTGGGAGGACTGTGTGTCCTAAGAAGCTGTGATTGAAAAGGAAAATACCATATCACCCAGCATGACATTGTCTCCACACATCAACATCTTTTTACGATTGAAATTCAAATATAACCCAAGTCAGTGGAAGTTTTGTTATTGCTTCCAACTGTACTCAACTCTGGCTTTCACACATTAAACCAAGCATTAATATAAGACCTCAGGGCAAACTGAAGTATAACTGAGAAAACCAAACCACACTGTAACAATGATTTTCATTAGCAGATTCATGGCCTCCTCTCTAAACTGGAATGGAATTCTCAGTGAGAATGTACATCCAAGTTCACAGCAAGGTACTGAAGCACTAATGCTGTCAGAACAAAACCCCCTTGAAGCAGTGACCAGAGAGACAATAATCAAACCAGCATGCTTCATCAAAGCCTAAATCTGGCTTCTTGGCTTCAGGAAAGAAAAGAATACTTTTGAAAACAAATAATGATAATACAATACTCAAGTTAGCTAATGATTCACATATAGCCAACCAGCCAGACTGCACAGTAAGGGTTACAAGCTAAAGTCAGAGGAGAAACGATTTCACAAACAGGTGAGTGCTTAATTAGAAATCTGTTGCCGTTTCAACTCAAAGAAGAGGTTGGTGGGATCATGAGAAAGGACAAATCTCCAGTGACCAGGCAGAGATCCCTGCAGTTACCACCCCACAACTCATGGGCCAACTGGAAAACAAGCAAAAGCAAAGCATCACCCCTACACGGCTCTGCAAGGGAGGAGGAGCAGCTGGACACAAGGCACGTGCTTGGGTGCCAGGCTCTGTGCAGCAGGAACCCAAACCCGCTGTGGAAGTGGGGGGGGATGGATCAGTGACCAGGACAAGACAGCACTTGCACGGTGCATGCTGCAGGGATGGCCTCAGAGCAGCCTCAGCCCCTGCACATCCACCACAGCAGCACCAGACAAGCTCAGGGCAGTGCAAACCCAGGTCAGAATCCCAACCCTGACAGCCCAGTCCTGTTCTGGGGAACAAATACTGCTGTTCCCTGGCACTGGGAATTGATGAGGATGGATGCCTAAAACCACAGATGCCTAAAAGCACGTTTAGACTGGTCCCAGTCCCACCCCTCCTGCTCAAAGCAGAGCCAGCCCAGGGGTCACACTGGGAGGATCAGGGCTTTGTCCAGCCAGGTCTCAAAAACAACCAAGCACAGAAAGGGAACCAACTCCAAATACCTGTTCCAGTGCTTAAACACCCTCATGATGAAGATCCTGTTGACTTCTCAGCAAATTTTATGTCCATATTAGCAGCACATTTGTTTTTATGGAAGGCAGTCAGAGGTAGTCTGCTCTGCTCCTACACTTCCCACTCTAACCTAGTATTAACATCAGGGACTGATGATGTGGGTACATTACAAATATAAAGCAGGAATATGACAAAAAAAATCCAAAAATGTAATAAAAAAAGACTTTCATGCTGAAATTTGTATCATTTAACTTGGCAATGCAAACCCCAAAATCAAACAAAGAGAAAACCAAACATGTCCAGAAACAGAATTTCTAGTATTTTTCTTAGAAATGTTCAGATGAAACAGCAAACACCAATTAAAAATGTCTCCTGCAGAAGTGTCCAAACGCGATGTTACACAAGTGTCCCCCGCGCTCTGGGACAGCCCCACTCACCCTCTTGCCGGTGCCCCTGCCCACGGGGGGATGAGCCTCGGCAGCCTGTCTGATAGTGCACACCATGAGCTCGATCAGAGCGCTCTCCTGCCGGTCCGACATCGCTGCGGGGACAACAGGGCATCACTGGGGGCAAGGCAGCACAACGGGGACACGTGTGGGACAGCAGGGGAACACACAGCAACGAGGGAACACTCAGCAGCACAGAACACCACACACAAGGTACTCTGTCACACTGAGCGAGGCTTTCCTGCCTCCTCTCTGATTTGCCATTCACATCAGCTCAAAATGGACATGGCAGAAGTAAAAGAAGCCCAGAGAAATGCAGGCTGGAGAAAAGCATCAGTGAGGGGAACATAAGGAAAATCTACAAAATAAGGAAGAGTCATAGAGGACAAAGAGTGACAGACAATATGACAGTCACTGTCACTTCCTCACAAATTCTCTGTTCTTTGGCAAGTGCTCCTGCTCACATTTAGAGGATTAAACCCCACTAGGTTAAGCAGAAACAAGGAAGCAAAGTGCCTGATCTCCTAAGGAAATGACCCTGTAAATACCCCACTGTAGCAGGTGCATACTGAAAGGTCAGCTTTTGAAGCACAGACATGATGAGCACACCTTGCCAGGAACATTGATTTCTCAAACACCTAAGCCCTGGGAAGGTCCCTGAAGCAGGAGAATCCTGAGGAGTTATAAAGGATCTTGAATGACACTCATTAACCCTAGGGACACTTTGCCCCCAGCCTCCCTGGCTATTTTGTGCAACCAGGTCTATTATTAGCAAAAGCAAACCTGAAACTAATGGTAAAAGAATTCCCTTCTTCTCTTGAGAATTCACCGTGTTCACGTTGCCTGGAAAAACCCCATATTTAACTAGCATCACCTGAACTGCTTGTTTATTCAAATTTGTATTAGCTATTTAATTTATTGCAATAGTTATTTAAGCATTCAGACAAAATCAAGTCTTAGCCTTTAATATTAGGGAACCACAGTACAGCAGACTTGACAAAAAACACCTCCAGAGTACAAATAAAAAGAAAAATAGAGTACAAATCGCTGCTTTTGAAGGAAAGTACATTAAAAATAGATTAACACAAAATCTTCAAATATGCTTTCCAAACAAACCACAACATAAAAAGATGTTTCACTATGGGTGGCAGAGATACTTAAGGAATAATTAACAATACTGTGCAATATCAAGGAAGCACAGGGTTAAGCCAATACCTTCTTCTCCTTGGACTGGCTCCTCCAAGAGCAATTCTGTCATACATTCCCAGTCTTTCAGCAGTTCTTGAGAGCTCTCCCACAAGCTGTCCACTAAATAGGCTGCATGTTCATGCAACTAGAAAATCCAAAGCAATCATCAGTACAGCTCTTGGTGTAAGCATCAGTTCTTCAACTTTCACAATCATGTGGCCACAGAGCATTCAGTTTGAAACTAATTCAGGAAGATTTTCTCCCGACTGAATGACACCAGTGAAATGGGGTTATATTTTAACAGAAATGAAATAAAACCAAACTGAGCTTCTTTTGCACAAAGCTGCTTTTGTTTGTGAAAAATCTTTCCCAGAGTTTCGATCCAGAAGCTGTAAATTTACCTTCCCTCACTTTCTCAACTGCATTACAAAAAAGAGAGATGGTGCAGAATGAGAGTTGTAATATATTTGTTGTGAACAAGCAATTGGTTTTCATACATGTTGCTATGTGCTCAGAAAAAAGGAGCAAAAATCCTGGTGATTTCAGGGGGTATAGATTTAACACTAACTTCAAATGCAAAAAATGTTTTTATGTGAATTAACACAACTGTTGTAAAGTGAGAAAAATAATTCCTAGGCTTCTGCTGTTTTCTAGACTGATCTTTAACTGCTACCAACAAGTAACAAGCCCAACATGCAGTTTGTGCTTGCCAGGAACTGATTCTTAGCTGGAAGACATCTCCATGTGCAGAGAAGGAGGTGTCAGTACATTCCCCTCCTCTGCTTCTGACAGCTTTGGGCAGAATGTCACAGAGTTACTGCTGCTGGGCAAGGTTCCCTCCCTTGAATGCACCCCCAGGCTGCAGCATTAACTTCTCCTACCCCCATGCAAACTCACAATTCTCTAAGTCTTTACTAAAATTGGAGTCAGGACATTCTGCTTGGTTCTTAACAACTCTCTCAAAAACAACAATAGCCAAAACTGGCCCTGAGAGAGAAGTGACCCTCAGGGAGCAGCATGGGAGGCACTTTGCTGATCTTGGCTTTGGGAGTGGAGCAGTTTCTTTCTCCTCAGAAGGACAGACAAGGTCAGTGCTCAGCAGCTCCAATCACACACACTCACATCTAAGGTGTCTGCACTGTAAAACACAATGAACTTTACAATCTAAATTTTAAAGAAGATGGAACTAAAAATCCATTCAGGTGGCAGACAGAAGGCTCACACAGGTAGTGACATTTTATCCAGATTAATCTGTAGGTTTATGAGGTGTTTCTAAAAAGCAAGAACACTGTACCAAAATTTTGTCCTTCCTTCTCAGCAACTCTTGAGTGTTTCTTTTCATTCTCACAGTTGAGTCTCTTGTTCAAGGCTTCATAACAATTGAAGTAACCAATTTCAATATCTTTACTTTTGCTTTTTACCCAAAATATACTACCCTGCCTTCTCTAGAGAAACACTTTTGTCACTCCTTTCTTTCAGTCTCCTTATTATCAAATCAAATCAAATCAAATGTGTAATTTTGAACCTTTCCCCTCTATCTTAAGAACATCCTGTACCTGACAGTATCTTCTCCCTCCACTGCCATTACCCATCTGTATTACTGTTCCTACATGTACCATGCAATTTCCCACAGACACTGTCTCTGTAAGTCATGGCACAATCCCACCCTGGCTGTGTTCATCAAACACTTCATGAACCACATCTGTGCTTGTTTTCCTCATCCTCCAGTGTTTCCAAGATGCATCTGCTTAAAGCCCTGAAAGACCTGATCTCATCTCAGCTGACTCTGCCCTGAGCCAAGGACCCTCAGGTCCTTCCCACTCTGAGCTCACCTATGATTCTAATCACAACTGGAGATATTATTCAATTTTTGTTCCGTCATGATTAAAATTATTTTACTCCACAAAGAATAACTCCAGAGGTGTTCTCCCTGCATGGTTATGTAAGCAAAGAACCATTTAAATTACTGTGCAGCAATACACCCTGGCAGCCAGCACAGCACCACAGTGTGAGTACAGTGGGGACATGCACGAGTTAAATTAACCATGAAGATTTTCAGATCAATTTCCTTAATTGAGAAGAAAATTGAGGGGTGGGGAAAAGGGCTTATGGTATTTCTGAAAATATTTTAAGAATTGAAAAGAAAGACAATTTATTACTGTATGTAGATAAATCACTACTTAAGGTCCAGGTTTTATTAAACATTTAAAGGTTAAAAATGACTTTTTTACCTCACTTTCAAGAAAGAAAAGAACCAACATTCTAATAAGGTTTCCATTTGGGCTATTTCGCCCCCTCCTCTTTGCTAGAGCCTCTTCAGCTTGAGGATCATGTCTGCTGAACAGCCTGAAAATAAGCAGAAGGAGCTCATTGCTATCACAACAATTCTCATTTCTGCAAGAATATGATGAGCATTCATTCTTGTATAGAAAATTTGTTCATAAAACAGTGCAAGTATCTCAAGCTATTTCTTTCAAGGGAAAGAGGACACAACCTCTGCCTGTCTGAAGAGATGAATTTATCTTCAGTCTTTAAGTTCATAAGGCTGGAAGAATTTCACACAGGAAAAAGTTCTCCAAAACCTACTTATATTGAAGGTTTTGCACAGTTTTAAGTATTTGCATCACTTGTAATACAATTTTGCATTAATCACTTACCCAATCTTACAGTGCAGGCAGCACCTAGTGCACCAGTGTAAGAGCTAAGGTTGTATCACTCTGGACATGGTACAAACAAATCTGACATCCCAAACAGCCAACCTCAGGTACCAGGAGCAGCAAAGACAAAACCAGCTCCTACTCATTATTTGGGGTTTTAACAGCTAAGTGACACACTCTGCACTGAGTTCCCTGATGCACAGCCCATCCCAAACTCCTCTCAATGCTCAAATTTTCCAAGAGACCTCAGATGTGCCAGTATAACTGTTACAGCAATGACTGCTTTACTTTGAGAAGTTTGAAAATTGTTCCTGGCTTCTACAGTGAAATCACAAAGCAGATTAACACACGAAACACAGAACTCTGATTTCACTGCTGTAATTCACTGAAGAGAAGGCCAAGTTACACACAAATGTTGTATTTTAGTTAAAAACATTACCTCATCCCCCCTGCTTATCTTAACAGATAAGCAATGAGCACTTCTGCAGGTGCTGAGATACCTTAGAGCCTGCACCTCAGGGCTGAGCCAGTGATCCTCTGAATTTGGTGATCCTTTATATCCTCTGTACTATTTGCTTTCCTTTGCTAAGCACAGAGAGCATGTCTGATGATTATCACAGAGAAAGTGATAGTGAAAGGTATTAAATTAGGTGAGAGAAATCACACCTCAAGTGCCTGAAATAGATTCTAACTTATTTAACTGGAGATTTTCTTTGCAGAAACTAAGACAAAATTAGTTAAGAATGGGATAAATCTTGTCTCTATGCTGTTAGCCCTGAGACACATTTACAGAACACAGCTTAGTACCTTGTAAAAGAAGCCAGAATGAAGTTTTGTCTTTATCCTAAGTGCACTAAGGTACAGATATGTCCTTATTTACCTTTGAGGCATTTTTCAAAAGTATTTTGTCACATTTTGATTAATAAAGGAATTTTAGTGTATATTTTTAATGAGAACCTAACCCTTTCCAATAACTAGTACAATGTCTAATAGTACAATGTTGGTAATGGAGATCTGCACATATATTCCTTGAATGGGATAGTGCTTGATCACAAAGCTGGAATTCTAAAAATCCATCAATGAAAGCTTACAATTACAATGTGGAGTTGTAAATCCCTAATAAACCATAGAAAATTAGAGCACTGGCAAAGAAAAGCAGATATTTTTGTGTATTTTTCCCTACCTGTATCTTGTTATGAAATAATTAGATAACCTGGGTTCTAATATAAATCCTCTATACATGCAATAAAAAACTCTGATGTCACAACCCATGAGCGGAAAAATCAAATTCCTGCTGAAAGATTTTTAACTGCAGATAATAAAAAGGTTAATTCCTATGATGTGGCAATGCCTTGGCCACAGTTACTGAGCTGGTGTGACTCACATCCATGGAAATGCTGGCTCATATCCTTTGGCATAGTGAAGACATGAGATGTAACCATAATACAGTCTATTTTCAGGGGAAAGCAGTGAGTTTAGAAACAAATTTTGTAATTGCTGCAACATAAAATCCTCCCAAGTTCTCAACAGAGAAATAAACTGGCTTGAAACTTGCTAGAAATTATGACTGTTGATGTATTAGGTAGATCACCACAGACTACAGGCCCAATATATGTATCTTATCATACCAGGAGTTCAGCAAGTGCTGCAGGACTTGAAACAACTTTAGAAGTTTGTGCAGGCTTTGTATATTTAACCCTCAAGGAGTCAGGAAACGTTACTTGAATTGCAGAGCAAGAAAAATGCATATTCAGTTTATTCAAGTCCTCAGACCTTGTTTAAACAAGAGAATAAAGTCTCTTGTTTAAATGAAATGCCTGATTTGCTGACTTGGGATATTTCACTCCACTGCTTCTTTGCTTTTTGATGTTACCTCTCTAGGAAACATTCACAAATATTCCAGGGCAAGTGATGACTTACTTTTTGTGGAGGAATTCCCCAGCTGCTACTGCCACAGGCCGGTGTGCTGAGTACACGAGGTGATAAACATTCTCACAGTCTTCATTGGACAGAGCCTCCTCGCTCCCACTGAAAGAGTCACAAGAACACCTGAGCTACAGCACAGCTTTCATTTCCATCCCCTCACCCTCCACAGCTCACTGGGGACAGCTACAAGGCTGCTTCATTTCCCACAAAATCCTCCATGGTTGAACAAGGACTTCAAGGATCTTTGGTTCAACTTCAAAATACAGAGGTATTTATAAGACTGGAAGTTTCTCTGATTTCCTTCTCCCAGTTGTATCAATACAGAGAGGAAGTAATAATATGAAAAGACCAGAATCACTGCATACAAACTCTCCCCTGCTTAGTCCTTAGACCATCACACAAACTTCAATAAACATATTGCAAAATGCCAAACACTCATCAAACATCATAAACTCAAAACCTGCAATCACAGAATCCTTTGGGTTGGGAAAGACCTCCATGCTCACTGAGTGGAGCCATTAACCCAGGCCCTCTGTGTTCACCACTAAGCCATGGCCCCAAGTGCTGCACCCACTTTTGAACACTTCCCTGGCAGCCTGTCCCAGAATAGCCAGGATATTATCTCCATCCTTGTTTACCTGGCATCCATCAGAACCATTTATGTATCAGGACTCTAAATCATTTGGCTTCATACTAGACATAATTTTAATTGATCATTCCCCATCAGGATTGCTCCAGAGACCTTTCTGGAGTTCCTACCTGCCAGAATATTGCCCTGTGCTCTTCAAGGTGACCCAGACTCTTCTGGTGCTAAATGCATTTAGCATTGTCTGTGCTTTCAAGAGGCAACCAAAAAAGAAAGCAGGAACAGACAAAAAAAAGTGCACTGGGTAATTTTGGACCTTAAAACTTATTGTGTTCCCAAAAGTTCTAATAATGCACGGAAGAGATGTACTCTACATGTAATTTCAGATCACATTTATTATATTTAAAAATATAACAGTAGACACAAGATTTAATTTCTTACTAGTATTCCAAGGCTAATCTCTTTAAAACAGAATGATCCATAAATAAAAAGCCGAAGTCTAGTCTTCTTTACTAAGGAAAAGCTAGTGTAATCTTTTGTCCAAATTCTGCATGTCCAAAACCTTCTTCAAAGTGGAGCCACTGGATATAAAATATGAAGTAAAAATTCTGTGCATCTGCTTGTAAACCAGATGTCCTTTAATACAGCTTTTAATAAATATGTTATAAAAGCCTAGCAGTGCCCCTCCAGGTGCACACTTATGAGGCTGCTGGGGACAGGCTGGCTCCACATATGGGAGGATGTGGGAGGTGATCCTCACCTCAGGGGAGCCATTGCATGCCCACATGGAAAAGCCTGGAAGCAGGTGTCCTACCATGTGACTTTTTTCAGCTGTGTCAGGAAATCAGTCAACTCTCCCTACACTGGATCTGTGTTACTGCTGGAGTTATTCTAGCAAGCATAACCCACGGACACTCATCTTTGCAGGACAGTTGTTCTGCCCTTGGCAAAAAGTAGAAATGCTCTTTGGCATTCTTCCACACAATGGATGCACTAATGGCTCCAAAACATCCACACATGTCTACATTTTTCCTCCTATATTTCCATGAAATGAAATATCTTACTTTATCTTCATGTCCACATTATATGTTCAGCTCAACTTCATACTAAATGTGAAGTAACACATTCACTTCATTACACAAGCAAAGCACTCAAGTCACTCAGATGTTACTGGTGAGGTGATTTTCCAAGGGAATGGAGGGTTTGGAGCAGCACTCACTGGAGGATGAGCGTGACCAATCGAATGGCTTCCACAGCGACATCGTACTCCTTGTCCAGGGTCATGGACACAATGCGGTCCTGCAAGGCAACTCCAGGTCAGTCACAGGCCACAGCACAGCCAGCACATGGAAAATTCTAGAGATTACAAAATAAAGACTTCTAGGGAGAAAGATGTTCTGACAGCACACTGACAATGAGAGCCCCCCAGTATTACCCAACCTTTTAATGTACCCCTGAGCTGTGTGCTCTGTGCATAGTGGAACCACAGGAAAAGTGCTTCAACAATCCTTATCCTTGTGTGTCTGCCAGAAAGGGAGGGAGGAGACTTGGGAGTTACAGCACTCTTCTGGGTTGGATTAATTTAACAGCTCTTTGCTGAAAAGTGATATAGTTGGGTTGGACAACAGCAGAAAAACTGCCCCACTTCATTCCTCTGAAACAAAATAATTTCATAGGAAGGAACGCTGCATACATGGAAATACTGTCAAGAAAAACCTCACCTGAATTCATGTGTCTGCAGGTTGCCTGTAAAGTTGTGACCTTCTCCCTCTCTGTATCTCAAGAATTACACTGTAAAGCTTCCCCAGGAAAGTGGGGAATTCCATGGCTTGATTTTGTGTTTTCCCATACTCTTTCTAGTGAAGACAAGCACATCATTCTCCTGTCAAATCTAACAATTTTCTACCTTTTAAGGACAGTGTAGTTATGAGAAGTCTGTTAAGGGTTTCTTTCTCCTTAGGTTCAATTTGCTTACTGGCAAAAATAGCTGTGATTGGTGTATGTTGTCCTTCCTATCTGGGGAGAATTCCCATCCAGCCATAAAAATGCAATATGTCTCAGTGCTCTTTGCTTGACTGAGCAAGTTACTGAACAGAAATCAGGCCATCTGAAAATAAGCCTTCATTTTGCTGGCTTAACCTCCTTCAGGAAGGACTAGATACTCTATGACATTTTGGGATATGAAAATATAGAAATCAAGGACTGGAAAAGAAACAAGGGAAGTGTAAGGCAACAATAGTGAAAGTCACCAGAACAAACCAGGGCAAAATAAAAGTTTTCACCTCTCTTCTCTACTATTCCATGCATTTAAGGGCTGAAGGGGAACATCAACCAACAGTGATGTTTATTTTGATACAGAAATTTCAGATCAGTACTTAAAAAATGCATGGTGGCTGTCTCAGGTGCTACTTCCCAACAAAACCAGGTCTGCAGAGACACTTTTTGTCACTGTGACTGAAGGAGCCTCTATCAATCACTAATAAGTTCCTGGGGAATTTGATACATTTCATGTAGATCTGAACAGTTTTAAAGACTGTGAGAAGTCCATTAAAAGACCCAAAAACCCCACATTCCACACAGGATGCTCCCTTATGAACAAGACAAAAAAACTGCTGTCAACTTTTCCAAAGATCCTGGCCAAGAACAGCAATAACAGCACCGAGGGAAAGAACAACCAGAGATACTGATCTTAAATGTCACAGTGGAATTTCATGTATTCCCTCAGAGTTTATCTTACACCCCAGGATACCTCAGGGAAGGGAACTAGCTGCACATGACTGGCACACCGGTGTAAAACTCCTTCTGCACCTCTGAAAAAAAGCCTGGAAGAGGGGGGATCCTCTCTCCTGCCCTCAGAGCAGGAGGTACCCTCTGAATCTGGGGTCTTTTGGGATTTTGAAACCAATCAACATGAGAAGGTTTCCTTATCCTAGAAGACCGTTCTCTCATTTTTCCCCAAAAATATCAGGCTTAAAATAAACAGCACAGATGTGCCATTTTCTGCCCAGGGGCCAGCACCTCTGTGTGGTGGCACCTGCCAGCCAGGCCCCAAGACCCACACAGCCAATGTCTCTGGAGGTGTAACTTCTGTGGCTGAGGAAGTTCCAACCTCTCTCTGCTCAATCTGCCTTTACAGAGATTCCCTGTACTGTTGTACAGCAGCAGAGCAGGGCACAGGCCTGGATGTTTAAGCTGAAACACGAATTCTCAGTGTCTCTGAAGATCAGTTTTCCAGTCTATATTAGGCTGTGAACAAGGAGCCAATCTCTCCTTCTGCTCCCAGGCTGTGGAGACGACACAGGGTGAGGGATGAGGGACTCTGGCACTGACTGCAGAGGAGTTAATTCACTGCTTTTCCATATGGGGTCAGTTAATGTCTGTATCAGACAGGATTTCTTGATGGAAAACAAAAGTCTTCCCTTTGATGGAAAGATTTTTGTTTTGATGGACTAAGCCTATTTTCCAGCATATCACTGACTCTTAGAAACACAAATGCTGGAAAGAACAGGCATTTTTCTTTGAAAAAGGGACAGGATCACATTCTTATGACAGCTCTCTAGAAGGAGGTGAAATATTAACATCCCAGAACAAGGCACTCTGATCAAATTAATTTATTCTTTAAACAGCTAGAAAACCTCTAGAGAGATTTCTCTCAGTTTGAATGGATTGAACTGAACACCAGCTGAACTGTGCAGGTCGATTAAATTCTGATGAAGAAATATAAATAAGCAGCCATGGAACTGAAAATGGCAGTTAGGTCAATTATTTTTCGAAGAGGTGGTGATAGAGTCTGTGGCAGCAAGACATTTAGCTGATGTATCAGAGATTCAAAAAGCATTAATTTGGAACTTTGCTCCATCCTGGTGCCAAAGGCCATATCCCTGACAGCACAGTTGTAAATCCAAGTGCAGGCATTTGGACCATGTCAGCTTTTTGTTCTCTTGATGTGGCAGAAACTGAAAGTGATTAATCATTATGTTAAACAAATCTGTTCTCTAGGCTCACAGAGACTTTGAGCACACCTTTTCCTCTTATTTATTTCATAATGTTACAGATTTCTGTAATAAAACAAGCTTTTATGGGACAGAAGAAAAATGAATTCCTAACAAGGCTCCCTTCCCTCTGAACCTCCTTGACAGAAATGAAAATTCCTTGTGCTATCCCAAGCCAAGCAGCAATGCACAGGCTAACCCAGCTTCCTTTAAGAGAATTTCTGTGCTGTGACAAGCAGGATGTATTTTTCATGTCCCTGTAGTTTTCTAGAGTGAGTAACTATTGCCCAAAGTGTCTCCAATTGTCCTGAAAGTTTTGTGGGTACATGGGAGAGGTTCAGCCTCAAAGCAATCTTTTTCCTTACAAATTATGGGATCCTGACAAAGAAGCATTTTCTAGTAAAGAGAAGTAGATAAAAGTCCACGAGAGCTTTAGTGGCCAACTTAAAAATAAATGGAATTACAGAAACAGCAAATATAAACAAATCTAAATCTGCACAGAGGGAACAGGAAAATCAGCAGCTGGAGGGTCCATTTTTCTGGTTGTCCTGTGAGGATAAAGCAAACCAGATTTATGGAGGCATTAGAGAAGTTTGAGATCTGAACCTCTTTGCCAGGTTCTCTCCTATGAGAGGAAATTTTGTCTTTACTGCAACAGTCCCAGAAACTGGCTTTATAAAATTAGAAGAATGCAGGTTTGTAAGTGGTCTCACAAAATGATCCGGTTTTATCTCCTACTTTAGTCAACTATACTTAGTTCATTTCTGGCAGATATTTATTTAATCTGCCCTTTAAGATTGTTATCTTAAATGAAGGAGACTATTAATAAAGAGTCTGCTCTATTATATAATTATCATTTTGGAAAAAAGCCTTTCTTAATATCTAGGCTTTACTGCAGGCTAAGCATCTTTTTTCATCTCAAGTGAATGTGGTAAAAGGCTGATTATCATGGTTTTATAAATTGTTTACATACACGGGAAATATTTCTTTTTTTTTTTGCTTTCTAGATCAAACTGGAGGAGTTAATTGTGAGATTAACAAAAGCAGTGAAGCAACATAAAATCTACAGGGAGAAGTTTAAGTCTTGTGCACAGTATTTATAAATATTTAAATCTCCATTTTTCTAAACAGAATTTTTTATCAGCATTATAATAATGATTTAAGTTAAAATAAACCAGTCAGCTCTGTTTCTTTTCTAAATAAATTTTTTCATCAGCATTCTAATAAAGATTTAAATGAGATAAATTAGTTTTTCCTTGGGGGTAGCCTTTCCCACAGCAGTGTGTGCTGCAGAAGACAAAAGCCATGGGGAGAAGTGGCAGTGCCTGAACACTCTCCTCACCAGGCACCCAAAGAAGAGCAGGGACTGTTTCCACACCCATCTCTCCACACAGTTCACTTGTACAAAAAAGCAATCAGACCACAAAGTGAATGAACAGCCACATTCTCACCCAGATATTAAGGAAAAAGTTTGTGCTAATAAAACCCCCATGAAATATCCCCCCAGCTCTTCTCTCCTGGAGGGCCAATCCGGCTCAAGGGGTTTGGAATCTCAGTGTGAACTCCTGCTCTGCAGCAAGGCCAGTTCACTCTGTAGAGGACTGTGATGCACATCCAAGTGACTCTCCCTCCAAACACAAGCACATATTGAGCTAAAAAAGCTGTGTAGCAAACAATCTTTCATTATAGGCTGCTACTTTCAGCTATATTTTAGATTGTGTAAGCATACATCCTTTAAATTCAATAAATCTATAATTAAATAGGTACAGGCAGATTGAATAAGGACAATATATAAGCTATAAATCATACATACAGACAAATATTCATCCTGGTTAAGACTGACAAATCTTCCAAGAGAAACCCTGTGAAATGGATTTGACTTAATTTCAGCGTTCAGTAACACAGTTTTAGTAGTGCAGTTACAAGCCTTGTCACAAACTAATGAGTTTATTCTTAATAGGCATGACTCAAAGACCACAACAGGATGATGACACTTTTATTTTCTCCTCCTTCCAAAAATTTATTTCTTCTTACCTTGAATCTGTTAGTGAACAGCTCCAGTTTGGGAAACAACTCTCTGTTGGTATACAGACTCTGAAGAGCTTTCAAACACTTCAACCTTACTTCACCTTGCTAAATAAAAAACACTGAGATGAGCTGTCAGAATACTTTAACCAAATGCACATGAATATTAAAAAACATAATACTGTAATTTGCTTAATGTACATATAAAATTTTATGCAAATGACCAAAGCCAATTTGCAATTTAGCTAAAAACCAAAACCCACATGCAGTCACCTACAATGTTGAATTTCTTCCTATTTGCATTTAGGAAACTAATGTGCCATCATTTAAATGTATGTTAGTGCTTCCCTTTCAAGTGACTCCACGAAAAGATAAAGAATGGAGCAAGCAAATCCAAAAGAAAGATGTAGGATGTCCAGGTGGCTGGTGCAGGCAGTGTGGCTGCTTTTCTTCAGCAAGGAGCCCACAGGCACCTCCTGAGTGACAATTCATGTTCATGACCAGCACACAGGGCTCAAAGTGACTGGGCATGGGCTCAGCACACACATTGCATTTGTTATCCCCAAATGTTTTACTTTCCCTCTCTCACAACAGGACAGACAGGCTGAAGGCTGCAAAAGGTGAGAGATCCTCCAGTGCCACAGGAGCAACACAGCCACAGCCTGAGGAGCCCGTGGGAAGAAGGGTGGCTTGTGTCCCTGTGTCTGAGCCGTGCTGGTGGCAGCAGCTCCTTCCCAGCTGCTCTTCAGCTGGACATTGCTTTGGTCTGGTGGGCTGCATCAGGAAATGTGGGTGTCACAGGTCAGGGCCTGTGGATCAAGGCTTGTGTCCCTGAGCAGAACACTGCTGATGCAGAGAGGGACTGGATCCTCTGTGCTGCAGGTAAACAACTCAACTGCACCATCTTGGCAAACTATGGATTCTTGTTGAAAAATATTTGTGTGTAGCTAATCTACTCAAATATGATCTTTAGAGTTCACTGCAGTGTCAATTTACTTTTATGAAAGTGAAGACAGTACCAAATCTAAGGCCTTAAGCTGCTAAGAACTAAAATGAACTATTGAACTTCATAAATCAAACTCCATACCCAGAGGGCTCCATTTCTGAAACTGTCTATTCCAGAATCCAGTCTGTACTTAGAAAGTGCTAAGACTAAAAAAATTGAAAGAACATTCACAGACTGACATAAAAACAGAAATATAAATCCAAATTTTAAAGTTTCTTTCCTCCTTCACACCAATTTCAAAATTTGAAATAAAAGACAAAAACAGCACAGAAGTTGGATTTTCAGAAGAACTTCCATGAAGAAGAACTGTTCCTGAGAAATCATCTCTCTATATCCATGAGGAGTCTCTGAGCAATCGTGCTGTTTTCTAGGGGATCTCTTTGACTACCACTGCAGAGAAAGCAAAGCAGGGCAGGGTGCAGCTGTGTGTGGATGCACTCCAGTCCAGACTGGAGGAGCAGCAGCAAAGTCTCACAGACCCTCAACATGCCACACACGAGATGGTTCTTCCTAACTGTGAGAATCATCCAGCTCACAGGAGCTTTGAACACCCCAAACACCTTCTAGTAGCAAGGAAGTAATTGGGTGGGAATGCTCAAGTTAGAGTGATTCTTAAGAAACTTATGCCAGAGTAAAAGCTGCAAACAGGGATGGACAGAAAGGCCAGCAAGGGACTTAGTAAACTAAGAGATGAACTTATTTAACTAATTAAATCATTAATTAATTTGGAGGTAAAAGCACAAGAGGAACGAACATCTGTTCCAGAGGACCCTGAGTTCATCCTTTCCACAGAAACAGACAATAAGCAAAGTAAGAGGAATGCAAAGAAGGGAAAAGCATTTTCTTATGTGTTAGGAATTGGTTTTAATAACCATGACTGTCCAGGTATCTAGAGACAATTATGCCTTCAAAACACTTTCACACATCAATGAAGTAGGTGAAAATTAAGACTGAACAGTCTAATTTAATGCTTTTATGTTCAAGAGTTTCTTTAATGCAATTATATCATAGTTTATACACTTTTAATTTATGCTGCCAGATACACGGGAATAAAAAAGATGCTTAAAAGCAGAGAAAGGCTAAACTTGAAAGCCACATTCAAATGAGAACCTATAAAAAGCAAAAATCCCTATAGACATTTGTTTGAAATCTGGGAGACATGATTAACATACAAAATATAAGGATTTTCCAAGTTAGAGAACTAAACTTCTGTATTCTACCTCTGAAGGGCAACGTTGGAGCTACTACAAAGAAGTGTAAGAACTGTTCTTCCCTGTGGTTTAATTTGTATGTCTTCTGAAATAGAATATGAAAATGCTCAGGAATCTCCTGCACAGCTGTCTCCTTTTTGCAGAAGCAAACTTCCAGAGAAGTTAATAATTTTGGGGTGACTGCTGTTCATGTGAAGTGGAAATAGCTTATGGCTATTGCCTCAGCCTTCATTTTTTAAATACCAATTATAGCAAAAAATATCTCCTGATCAAAGCAAAACAAAATCAAGAAGCTTGGGTACCAGCTGGCAGTTTTTTCAGACTGTGCCAATGAAAACCATGCTGTTGAGGGATCTTGTACTTCTGAAGGCTTTTCATTTTCAGTTGGCTCTTACTCCATCTTTTTCCAGTATATTCTTCCTATTGCATCTCCACCCTCCTTTCTGTGCCTCCCAGAATGTCTCTTTCTCTCCATTCTGTCCCATTCATCTTTTAACACCTGCCCCATTCTGCCTACAGTCTGTCTCACTTTGTAGATGACACATCCATAACATCAATAAAACCCCACCACCTATCAGGTGGACTGGGACATTAAACACATTAGTGATTTAAAAACTTAGAACCCCAAGGCACTTCTGTGTCCTCAACAAAAAATTTTACAAAGCAGAGGCAGGAGAGCAGTCTGATAGAATTCTGATGTGTCTGGTCCAAAAGGTCCAGTTTTTTAGCCTAACACTGTAATTCAAAATTTCTCTGCTATGAAAGAACATGTTAATTTAGAAAAAGCTGAGGTATAAATATGTGTTAAGGCTGCAGGCAGATGACTAGACCCTGGCCTGAGGTTAAACTGAAGAGGATGTGAGAAAATACTTCACATGGCATGAGAAATTACTGGATGTGACAGATGAGAGTGTGAGATTCCACAGATGGGTAAAGGGAGTGATGTGAGAAATGGATGGACTTCAAAGGACACTAGGAGGGGGCTGAGAGCTGTGAAGTGCAACTCCACTACATTCCCGAGATGCTACTTTGTGGAAATGTTCTACAAGGTTTAGAATGTGCTCCCAAAAATCCACTGCAATTATTGAAGGGATAATTTAATTAAATTACAAGTTCTAGTAAAACAAAGCCCTCCACACACCTTAAACCCTGATCCTCCAACCTGAGCTGACCTCCCCACTGGTTTGCTAACTTGAACAATGATGTCCTTATTCTCCTGGAGCGTGGCAGCTTGTGAGGCACAGCAATGTCACCAACAAGGGACACAGAGCAGCAGCTCTGTCCCTCCAGGCACTGCCACAGCTGTGTTCCATGTCCAGCATTCACTGAGACACAGGCTCTGGGGCAGACAGTGGTCATGGCTGATGGGAGCAGTAATCAGGATCTTCCTCCTGATCAAGTTGTGTTCAATGAGATCTAATGTAAAAGTCTGAGGGAAATCTGTAAGGGAAAAGTTTGAGAACTACAGGTTTGGAAAGAAATCCCTTGTCTAGAGGATACTCTTAACAAGTGAACTGCTCATCCAAATGAAGGCAAGATGGAGATTCCTGGCAGCAGCTGACTTCTATCTTTAGTGAAAGCCAACATCTGCATAATTCATGTTCAGAACTCAGCACAAGAGCGACCAAGTCAGAGCCTAAATATTAAGATGATGTTTGAAGTTACTGAAAAAAGTAATATGAATCAGCTCTTAACTATCAATTATGCAAGTAATCCAAATGAACTTGCAGACTTAAAATTTCTTTCCAGCAGTGCTCCTAGAAAAGGAGAATAGTCTGAATCAGGATTCTGGAATTTGATGAGCGTTTCAACCTCACTGTAAGTCTCCTTTTATTCCTTGGATAGTGCTAGCAAGGGAGTTTAGAGTAAAACAAATGATTCCAGTGATTTTGGTGGGAGTGGGAGCACAGCCAGTCCCACTGCTGCCTGGTGTACAAAGCCCCCAGGCAGAAGTGCAAAGTTCTCTGTCAGCACCCAGAATGGGCTCCTCTTGTTGCAGGGTGGATACCATCAGTACTAAGAATTGTGCAGAGTCAGAAAAGCACCTCTTTTCCTTCCATCTGGTGTTACAACAATTTTCTGAAGAAAAAGCTAAAGAGAACCTTGAACAGATTCTTCAAAGAAGGGAGACTGAACTGATGAGAACTCCATTGGTTGTGGAACCAGTGGTGTCTACTGAGGACCCAAAGATCTCCTTTTTTCCCTCTAACCTTTGGGCAATGTAAATGGGAGACACATGCAAATCCCTTTTCCATTCTGCTTCAGACACAGAGGCTCTCAGGGATGCTCTGAGGAGACTTCTCTTTCTCTTGTAATCAACAGAAAAGCCCCTTGGAAGGATTTCTATGAAGATAATTCATCAGAGACTGAACACATGAAAAGCACATGGACCAAGCAGACTGGGAGTACTGCCTCCTAATTTAAGCCAATACCTGGAAGTGACCTGATTGAAAGATAGCAGGTGAGGAAGCAGAGCAATCTCTTTGTAAGCCAAGGATGATGCTGTGCTGGGCAGCACAGCAGCAATTGCCTCCAGTGCACTCTGCTATGTGTGGGAATACACAATACTCACCCTGTCATGTAGTGTCCAACCAACATATTTTAAATAACTATCATTCAGGAAGGCATCACTGTACATTTTCATCCAGACACCAATTTCTTCAATACAGACAGCTCTAATCTCAGCAATAGCATCACTAATATGGAAAAAGAAAAGAACAAGGATTAGCCAGATTACAGGCACACATACTTCTCATTCCCATAGCTATATTTTGCTTGTACTTGTCATGAACCTCAGTATGTGAGGCCTGTCACTGTTCTTACTGCCATCTCACTGATTTTCTGTTCCTCTACATCCTTGAACTCACTGGTCTAATAATTTCAGTGTTTATATATATATGCTCCTACATTTTCTCTATGTAAAGAAATTCTCACCTGAGTTTGCTTCTTAGTCTATTACTCCATCTTTAACCTCTCTTTTCAAAGAGAATTATGAACCCAAGCTACAAATCTCCTCTGGGCAATCATTTCTGAAATAGCATCACTGACATTTGCTTTGCAGCCCTGCCTCCAGCTCGAGGTGCAGAACCATTGCAAGGTGGGAGAAGCTATTTGGTTTAGCCAAAGGCACCTGCCAGAGGAGCACAATGGAATTTGCTAGAGAAAGAGATCTCACTTCATATCCCCTGCAACACCCCGACAACAAAACCCATGAGAATTTTGCACTTCGGCATTGGTTTCTTCCCATTTTCTTGCTTTTATCCTACATTCTGACTGTAGCAAGTCATGGAAGAAGCAAAGACATATCTCAGGCAGATTTATCAGCTGCTTAGTGAGGAGGGGTGGCAGGAAACTGGAGAGGTCACCTAAGGAAACCAGGATGGAAATGCTTTCCATCTGATTGGCACTTTCCTGCCTGCCTGACATGGAGCACGGCATCTTTACTAATGATGAAACAACGGGAAAAGGGATGGGGGCCATCTGTCCCTTCAGTAATTCCATCTCTGGGACATCTGTTACTATGAGAAATCACTTGTGCCACTCCAGCTGGCACTGCCTCACAGATCCAAATTTCAGCTCTAATACAAGAAGAACACAAAGAGTCACTGCACAGAAGAAGGCAATGTCTGGTGCTTTGCAAACACTGGAACTTGCTTGCAATTGAGACCCTTGTTTTGTATTTTTATTTTAAAAATATTTTTTGAAAAGTAATAAACATCAATTTAATTCTAAACCAGACCAACAGAGCCCCAAAATGAAATTTAATTTACAGGAAGGAAAGAAAAATTCCAAGATTCAAGCATGAGAATAATTGCAAAAATAAGAAACTGCATTTTTCTGATTTTACAAAATAGAAATAAAATGCACTCCATAGTGGAACTATGTACTTCCCTGCTGCAGTGCCTTTGTCCTGTCCCTGACCTTGCAGCCCCTGAGCTGGACCCACAGCTCCCACAGGCACCATGAACCAAGCCCAGCATCACACACGGCCAGGGGGACTCCTCCAGGCAGGTCTGAGCATTGGAACTGCACTTGTAGGGAGGAAACTGGACTGGTGTAAGAGCAGAAAAGCACAAACAGCCTGTAATGCCTGAGGGGGACACCTGGGTGAATGCCACCAAACCACTGCCATTGTCTCTCTCTGCCTATGAGAAACATGAACAACTTCCCAACAGCATCACTGAGTCTGGTCTGTCCAACTCCCTGAAGGCTCTGGAACCTCAGAGCCAAGGTAAGGGGCAACCCACAATGGGGACAAGCTGCGTTAGGATCAGGGCATCAAACAAGCTGCTCCTGCCAGGGATTTCTCACACAGGTTTAAGCAGTGTAAGGACCAATGGGCTAAATATCACACTCAGGGGTTAAAAACTGCATTCCCTATGGGAAAGGCAGCCATGATGAAGAAAAGTTTTAGTTAAAACTGTGACTATAGTCACACACACACAAATAGATGTATGTGTGTGTGTGTTTAATTGTACATTGCTTCACACTGAATTAGATTAGCAATTCTCTTCTATGGACTTACTTTTAAATTATTTTAAAAACAAAATATAGGTGGAAGAATGCAAGACTTACCGAAAAACCTAAAAGACTAATAAATATAAATCAAGAAAAAAGGGGGAGCCACATCTGCAGCAACACAAAGTAGTGAGGAAAATATTCTTACTAGGGGATGACAGCCTGAGTCCTCACATCCAAGTAGGTTATTTCATCACCTTATAAATTTACTAACTGTAAGCAGTTTGGAAGGATTTAATAGCAATCCCAAAAAGAACCTAAATGTCAACAACTATTTAATCATGCAGCACAGCCAGCCAAAAAGCAGGAAAAATCATGTTTTCTCTAACAGTGCACTCAAGCTTCCCCAGGCAGAAAGTGAAAAACTGTTTCTTGATTCAAAAGCCTTCTCAGGGATCCCTCAGCACTACAGGCACTCACTCAAAGCTGCTAATTTAAAAAAAAAAAAAAAAAAAAGAAAGAAAGAAAGAAAGAAGAAAGCTACTCAAGTAATTAAGAGATTTACTATAATAAGAATTTAACACCTCCAGTATAATTGAAAATAAGACAGAATGATGGATAAGGTATATGAGACCAGCAAACAGACTCAAGCTACTGGAGAAACAGGGGAACTTGTGAGACACCATCTCCCACTCCACATCAACTTCCAGGTAACTATCACCAATCAGAATCACTTGTGTTCCTGCAGGAATCACTAACATGGACTCCATGCCCAGACAATGCTGTATCAAACACGATATCGATGCTGTATCAATGTGGTAATTGCTTGTCATTAAACTGTAAATCTTTTCTTCTAATTTTTATACAGTTAAATATATTTTAGCTTCTGGTCAGAGTCACTGTGAATTGTTTAGCTTTTTGAAAATACACATTATTTCTGGATGACACAAGAACAGAAAAAGACTAATTATACCTGCACTGGAAGTGTTTATGGAATAATGAATGCATTATTAATTATCATAATTATAAATTAGTGATGTAAGCTTGTACTACTTGCCAAATGCTTCTAGAAAGAAACAGAATCTAGTCCAGCACAGAGATGAAAACTAACGTGACATCTACATATCTTAGACATGAAATGTATTTAACTCTCTTTTCAGCACAAACTGCAAAGCAAGGTCTCCAAGGGGAAAATTTTCTCAGCATTCACAGCCTAAGTTCCCACTCTGGGTAAAGAGATTCTCCATTATGCAACTTCTGAAAAGATTTGACAAAAGGGGTTCAGGTAAGAAATTCTGCATTTCCTTTTGAAATTTTGGCTTGACAAGGCAGGCCCATAAACCTTAGCACAAACCACAGCAGTGACAGGAAACAAATTTTACCAGTGCCACTCCAAGTGCCACTCCAGTGCACCTTTCATGCCAAAGTACAAACAAGAATTGTGATTAAGGCCAGAAGTATCCAGGAACTGAGCCACAGAGTCTCTGGTGGATATTTGGGAAATGTCAGGTGCAGTGTGCTCCTCAGGGTTGCTGGAGTGGTTGTCAGCTTCAGCTCCAGCTCACAGGTTCTTTCAGTCTGTTCAATGACAAACTCATGGGGTTAATCACGACTACACTGAAAGCCCTCTAAGCAAACCTGCCCAATGTGCAGTACCCTGGCTGTCACATCCCACAGCACTGCTAGTGCTGAGCCAGACCAAGGCATGACCTGGAGATGACAGCAGAGCAGGAACTGCTTCAAGGCTTCTTGGAAGCTCCTCTAGGAGCCTGACCACCCTCACTGCACCTGCTTGGCCAATCTCACCACTGGAGATGCTGCTTCTCACACCTTGTTCTGAGACAGCCAGAACTGCAGATAACCATCAGAAGACAGTGGTATTACTCAACAGGCAAACTAGTATGAGCAGAAAAACACAGATATTTCAGTCAATGGGTTGGGCTGAGAGTTAGTCTATAGGAACACATTCTAACAAGGACAGAACTAAGGGTGACTCACTGCCTTAGGCCTTCTGTGGGATGGAAGCTCAAAATCCCACCCAAGGGACAGGAAATGGAGCAGCTGCACAGGATCACACCATTGCCACTTGGACAGAACTGGGCCCATCTCTTGGGCTGCCTGTCTGTTTAGAAACATTTTCAAGATGTAATTATAATGAGAACTGGACAAAAATGTCTTTTCTACTTCTTTTTTCCATGACTCTCATCTCTGGAGCTGAATTAGGAGCCCATAAAATAAGAAGGGTAAGAAAAATAAGAGCTCAGAACCAACTTCCAGAAGTTCTGATGAATGCATATCCCACTTATGGGAGGGGCTGGCACAGAGCACTCCCATTCCTAAATGCTTCTGCATACAGTGGTTATTTAAGTATCTATTCCAAGAACCTGTTACTAGGCTGATTATCCAATGCTCCTGCCAGACCAAGGAATTTACTGCTTGAAGGCATGACATGGATTCTGAGATGTAGCTTCACATATCTCTGACCCCAATGCTTCTCAAAGAGTTCCTGTCCCAACACCTTTGCTTGTATGAAGTATGAGGCACAGCTCTTCAGGGAAGGGAGCAGTGTGTGTTTTAAAACTTCATAGAAAGGTCAAACTCACTCAAATTAAATGATGTAAATTTTTCCCTTCTCTTTTTTTTTTTTTTTTAATGTCTGTGACACCAGTAATTTCTGTCTATTTTTTCAAACATACCTAAAGCCATAATGCATTTCCTTGTCACCTGAGGAGTACATTTTGCCTCCTTAGGATAACACGTTTAGGGTGCAGGAAAAAGGACTTTTCTCTGGTTTGATTTAGGCTCTATTCCCCTGTGCTTCCTCACCAAACTGTCATCCAATAACCCCTTCCCCCTTTTTGCCATGTCTTGTTTTCCCCAGTGGAATTCCTATGTAACTTGTCACCACAATCTTATTTACTCTGTAGCAGGCAAAGGAACACCTTGGAAGGAGACAGAAGAACCTTCTCCAGAAAAATGGCAATGCCATCTAGACTTGGCAAGGTTTACCTTATTTGCCAGACTGACAAAACATTACCTCAGGACAGGCTCATGCCCTGCATAAATTCTCAAACCCACTGTGTCCATCAGTGCCAGGATTCCCATTCTGGTCTGCCATAAGCTAAAACTGTAACAGTTCTGTTTTTCTGGACAGTCACACCTGGAGAAAAATGTCTTTAAGCATTCAAAACAAAAAAAATACCATGAAGTAGGACTGAAATGTGAGATGTCTCAACCTTACCCTCTAAAAGGGGAATGTGTCTGGGCACACAGTGCTAAGTCCTAGGCAGGGAAAGAGCCAAACCTCAGATAAGGGTTCAA